TGCCATCATGACTTGAGAAATCGGGTCGTGACAGAAGATTATCATTTAAACATAGAAGTTGAACTTTTTTTAAAAAAATCTAGTGAAAGCAAAGATAAAGTTGAATTACCATGGTGAACAAAGAGGATAAGATTGGAATCAAGGTATTGAGGGATGAAGAGACTATTTGGTTCCATGGAGATGAAACCAATATGCATTGGACTATGTAGAAATGAATCCCTTCGATAGCCACCCTTCACCATTCTCATAGACCCTGCATCAGTTTGCACAACATTATGTAACTGACGCAACAAGAACCATTTTTCTCCTTGTGTCCTTTGCTCTATTTCTTCCTCTTCATTGGCACTAACAGAGGACACAAGTGCAGAGAAAAGTACCAGCACTAGAAGCAACAATGTCCTTCTACCTTCCATTTTAACTCGGAACAAAAAAAGCTACCAGTAGTTTTAATTTGTAAGTTTAGTTTTTGGTTTACTTATGACTTAGGTGCAGATTGTAACGATTTATATAAGATAGAATAGTGAGATTTGAGAGGAATTGTTGTCAACCATGCAAATATTTCAGGATTTCTGATGTGGAATGAACGTTGAGATCTTGAAAAATAATCGGTGAACCAAAGAAAAATCATTTGTTGAAGATTGTAATACACAATAAAATGATGTAATGAAATAGGAATTTTGATGACCATTTCAAAGGGTTTCTCTAGCGAAACAAAAGGAAGGGCTTAATATTTACAATTAGCAATTCACAATAAACTTACAAAATAATTTACTACATTGCAATATCAACAAGTACTTAAAAGCCAATTAATGTGACTATTTATCGTAATTTGTGGGTTGATCAAGTAAAAAAATGACAAATGCAATTTGTTCTAAAGTATTATGCAGCATATCTGAATTATATCCATGACAAATTACCCCAAAAGGAAAAAAAAAAAAAACTTGCTACCTAAATGTCCAGACTAGTTTGCCCCTTCTAAAATACTAGATATTTTATTTAATTATTTATGTAAATATCTTCCTTTTTTAAAAATAAATAAATTATTTCCATCCTCCCCCATTGTCAATTTTTCCAAGTCAGGTTTGCAAATTGAAGGCTATACTACTAAAATTCAGATGATTATTATAAGCAAATAGGTATTTGAATGAATTTTAGAAAAGAAGAAAATGAATGACAGAAATGGAATAGAGAAATAATTAAAAGTTATTTGGGAGAGTATTTGGAGAAATAATTAAAAGTTATTAGGGAGAGTATTTTAGAGATTACAGAAGATATTAAGGATAATATCATAAAAAGCTTTTGACAAAGGAAAAATATTTATGAAGTACAACCCAATTTCTGACTGATTTTAATTTATAAATACTTTTTATGTTTACCAAACAAGTAAATAAGCAAAAAATATCAATATTTCTAAGCTAATTTGACCAGCTTATAATTTTATTTTGGTTAAATTCTGTTTTAATTAGGTAGGACTTGTCTTAGTCAAAGCTCAAAACCGACCAAAATATGCTTATTGACTCTTGTTGAGTCGTAATGTCGTATAATAACTTTAAAATAAAACGTTACTTATGAGAGTAAATTAGTAAAAGAGATGAGCAAATGAAACTGGACCTTTTAATTTGTTGATCACTTGAATTGTACGTTAATTTATTTGATTCAGAAAAAGATTAATTGCATGTCTAACTCCAACGGAACACTAATGCCCTGTTTGTATAGGGTCCCAAAACTATATGCTTGTCAAGTGAGATGCTAATTGAAGGACATAGATCGACGCCTCTTTGGATTCCGAAAAAACAGTGACAAAACGGAATCACTTTGTTTCAATGACATGAGACCGATGAGAATTAGTATGTTGGATGCTCCCCTCTTTGGTACCACCAGAGTTGAGAAATGTTACAATCTAGTCTCAAAATACCTTATTAGTTACTCACAGAATTACCTTTGGCTTTTAATGTATGAAGACGATTTTTGAATGATGGAGGATTTACTGTTATGAACAAATGTATAAGAACTGCATTGCAGCATTAATTCAAATACGATAAGTAAAATTGATGTTGATGAAGTTTAAACCACGATAGAATCCATGTCAAGGAAACCAATCCGTCTTATTCACAACTCAGAAGCGCAATGTGTCTTGCTTCCAACAAGACGCCAAGGAAACAAACTCAGACTGAATAACAGGGGAAGTAAAAAAAAAAATGTAAAGTAACAATATTGGCTTCGAGCTTTGGTGCCATAATTCAACTAAACCAACGACGCACTAGAATTTCCATAAACTAATAAGAACCAATGTTCATCCTCATAGGAGAATCTGACGATGATGAAGGCAAGATGACTTGTTCACGTTGTGCATTGGCAACCCTGTTAAGCCTTTTCTCACTGATTCCAAATGCAGCAGCAAATTCTGGCCCTCTCAAGCTTTGCATCAATGAGTTCCTACCCACCAAGAATTGTGGATGGTTCCTCCTTGCTGATGTAGTGAAACCGAAGAACTCAAGCGGGCCATTTGATGAAGCAATTTGGCAGAAGGGGAAGTACCTTGGCACCCAAAAAACGTCCCCTTCACGTACTCTTGCATTCATTGCTAAAGTCCCATTTGGATACACAATTTGGATCCTGCCAGTCCCTTTCAACACTACTCCGTACTCTATTGCTCTTGGATTAACATGAGGTGCCATCATGGATCCCTACATTTATCAAGAATAGAAACATACAATAAGTTATGCGATTTGAGACTATTGGACCAAAGGTCACCACTTATATGAAGCAAGATGACTTACCTGAGATAGATTGACAAGATAAACGCCATTGCCTGAT